ATGTTTCCAGAACCTGCATGCTTTCCACCTCCACCTCCAAGGCACTGCTCAAGCTCAGGTTGTTTTCTCTTCAGCTGCTGGAATTCTTTCTTACCAGTCTCAGGCTCTTGCTCCTTCAGCCAACCTAGTGTATTCCTCTATTCACTTTCTGCATTGCACAGGGGACTGGGTAACCTTACTCCTATTGCTATGAGGAACTGGCTCTGCTGGGGATACCACAGCACCTGTCCCAGGTTCCAAGCTCAGATGACCACACAGCTGTGAGGGACAGCCCCCATGTCTCCTGAGCATCTGACTTCCACACAGGTTCTCCCATTTACTCTACTGAAGTGAGCTAGGATGTTGCCCTGTCTATGTAGATGACAAGCAAGGTAAGACAGCCACTGTCCTAGCAGAAACACCTCTCTAGCAAGAAACACCATGGGATGCTAAGTCTCCTCATGACTAAGCATGTAAAGGTCACTGGTGGGCATCTTAGGACAGTCAACCTCACTAGGCCTTGGGACAGCTATGGTGAACCGTTTAGAGCTTTCAATGATACAAACAACCTGCTATGGGATGCATGCTATAGAGGTCACCACTGCCACCACTGTCCTAAAAGGCCTGGGGAGGAAAGGAATAAGGGGAAGGGAAACTGTGAGAGAAGTGTATGCATCTTGGGGTGGCATGGGGGGGTGTTCCCTGTGGAAAAGCAAAAATAGATTCAGTGATGCCAGTGATCAGGCTTCTAAGGCAAGTGAAATGAGAATATGACTGAGGCCTAACACCATGCATCAGGAGAGAGGTTCTGTGCCTAGGAGGGGAAGATGATTCAGGCACCATGAAGAGTCTAGGCCAGGCACCAACCAGTGGAAGAGATGTAGGAGTCTTAGAAGTGGCCAGGTTCTGGGATGAACCAGTGGCAAATGGTAGATATTTCTCAAGAAAAGAGACAGGATATCGGGAGGGTATGGATCTGGACTCCATGGGAATAAATTGAGGCACTCAAACTCATCTAAACCAAGCCAGTAAAGTGCATTTTGTACATGTCCCACAGTGCCTGACCCACAAAGCCTGGGTCTGTGCTGGTTTCTGTACACTCTCATTCCATCATGTCCCTCACAGCACACCCCCCCCAACCCATGGTAGCCCTTGTTGGGGTTACAAGTGGCTATGACCAGCTTCAAGAGCCAATCCTGCACTTTTCAAGAAAGTAAAGGGTGCTGACTTAGGCACTGACTATTAAACACCACTATCATACTATAGCTTGGAACCTTCCACAGTAGGAGTTTATGCCACAGAAACTGGCAGATGTCTTGAGGGAAGCCTCAGCCAGCACTGATGCACATTTACCAGAACATTAAAAGTTTCCAACAAATATCTGTAAAGTAAATTAATTTAAAATGGTACACAAGTATACTATAGTAAAAAAGTAACAGCTTAAGAGAGTACAGTAGACAACCTCTCAGTATAGGACTGCATGCAGCCCTCCCAGGGAAGGCCAGGGCCTCAGGGCTGAGGGCAGAGTCCTACAGCTGGGGCTGCTGTTGGCAGTAGCCACATTCTTAACTGATTTGAGCTGCATGCTCTCTTTAACATGCAGTTCAATTTATACACATGTGCCCATGCATACATGCACCTTCACACCCACCCACCCCACATACACATGAACTCATACAATATATACAACACAAACTTTTGTTCTGGTATTCATGCATGGGAACATATAAAATATAAT